TTCTGTCATGGTAATTTAGTTCTTGTGGGGCTGCCACCAGTTGTACAAGGCATGGGGACAAATACCACCACAACGTTAAATAGTATGAGTTAAGGGAATACATCAAGACCAAAGTGCACACAGCTTCCCTAATTCTTTAGCATCCCTAATTCTTTAGCATCCCTACAGAGAGGCATTTCATGTTCAGGAGGGATGCTGGATATGACTTCAGTTTTGTTCTAGTGGAGGGGTCTCTTCTTCCATTGCTCTTCCCTTATCTAGGGTTTTGATGATAGCAACTTTATCAGGAAACAGACTGAGTGGGGAATCAAGCTGCCTAGATGTCATGTGAGCCATTTATAGGAGTTGTCTGGGAAAACCAGAGGCCCTGTACTTTAGGAGGCAGCTGGGGACCTGGGGTCTTTTGGGATGATATTGTCCTCTAGCCATGGGAAGGAAGCCATTATTCCCATGGGAAGCTGAATCCATCTGGTAAGGACTCTGGGCTAGCCCATTGTTCAGGCATTCCAGGGTGAACATCTAGGTTCATTTTTTTTTTTCTAAATCCTCACCTGAACATCTTTTCATTGCTTTGAGAAAGGGAGAGGGAAAGAGAGAAACATCAATTGGTTCCTTCTCATATGCGCCCTGACTGGGGATGGAACCCAAAACCTGGGTATGCAGCCTGACCCTGACTGGGAATCGAACCCACAAACTTTCAGTCTATGGGAAATGCTCCAATGAACTGAACCACACTGGCCAGGGCCTAGGGTCATTTTTGGACTGTGCTACTCCTGCATAACAATCTGTCCCTAAGACTGTTTGTGCTCATCAGGTGTTTCTGGAATAGGAAGAGAGCGATGCTATTTCCACCCAATCTTTAGAGTCTGAATTAATTGGATTCATCATACTCCCTCAAGCGTGAGCCAGATTGTCATCCATGTCCCCATCTCCACTTCCATTTGTTAGCGATAAGTTCTGTAGAGACCTAGAGATTGTTTCACCAGCTCTAATCCTCCATTTGTGCTTTGACACTACAGTTGGAAAAGGAGAGGCATGTATTGATCCTCCTTATTTCATCCTCTGCAGATCCCTTTGTGCATGAGAGTCCTGCTAGGGCAGAGGTGCCCAGAGCCTCTACTGCTCACTCAGAGGGCCCCTGCTGTTAGCATTCAGGTCAGCAGCAAATGTTAGTTTGATACACTCTTTTAAAAGCCACAAGCAGGTGGTTACAGAGAACAAGCACTTCCTTGGCTGTTTTTGCCCTCGACATCAGACCCAAAGGAAAAAGGATTTGTTTGGTCAAAGAAGCCCAATTGTGGTGACCTCTCTAGATATGGGAGTTGGGGAGGATTGGGCCTTGGCTCTAGCTTTCTCGTCTCTGAATGGATCTCTGGCACCAAGATTCTAGGGGGCCACAGAGATGTGGAGGGGTTCTATTATTTTGAGTACTTGCAGGCAAGCTGATATTTGTAATCTTTTGGGGAGACAGCAGGGTAAGAAAGATGAAATACCTTGATCTCTGGAGGAAATGGGTTGCCTTCTCCCCGGGAGCTGCTCCTCAACACTGTCCATTTGCAGGCATGAATGCTAATGGTGTCCTAACAATGGCGCTAGCTGTAGTGTGCTACCATTCCTCCTATTCCAGCAGCTTTCCCAGAGAACTCATTCTGTTCCTAAGAGGGCCCTGAAATTTGTGTAGCCCTTAGACCCCATAAAACTTTGATTTCTTCATAGTTTCAGGCAAACTTCCAGGGAGTTTATCCAGAACCAATAACTCAAGAAATTTTCAGTAATTTTATAGGGCAATTTCAAGTGGATTCAGAATCTCTAGGAAGTCTCTTCTGATTTGATGCTCCAATTTAAGATAGGAATGGGCATGTTGGAGCCTCCTAACTGGTGAGGCTAGGTAATTTTACTTGCACTAGGGAACCCGGTATTAACCCCTCCACATTATCTGCCAGTCATTCCTCCTCACTTGGTTATGTGCTGTCTTAGCAATTCCTCCAGTCAGTAGCTCTGGCTGTCAAGGAAGCCATTTGTTTGAGCTTACAAGTTGTCTTTATTTTTAAAATATAATTTCAGATGTGTTATGAAGTGGCAGTCCTTTCTCTTGCATTTTCTTGTAAGAAATCTCAAAGAAAAAATTTAGTGTTTTAAAAGTGAGCTGATAACATTGGAAACGAAGCTGTTTACTAGACCAGGGAAGGGTGTGGTTCAGTTGGAAGAGATACATTGCTGTTACAAAGCTGAATGGATTCAGTTGTTAATTGGACCAGGGATAATAGAATTAGGGTGGGACTGATTTGACTAGAATTTTGGAGAGACAGAGGTATGGGCCCTAATTCATCAATACGTTTCAGTTGGAGATGTTTTCTTGAGAAAACAGTACCACCAGAGGAGACCATCCCAAGAAGGTGGTATCTGAGCTGAGACTAAGGAGGTAAGAGAGGTGCCTGTGTGCAAAGACCATCAGGTAGAACATTGGGGTTTTGTTGTTGTTGTTTGCTTTGGCTTTTTTTTTTTTTTTGAGATAGAGCCAGGAATGTGGTTGAAACCGAGAAAGTAAGGGGTGGAGTAGGAAGAAGTAAAGTCAAAAGGTCATGGTGGACCAAATCTTTTGGGGACTTTAAGGACATTTGAAGGATTCTAAGTAGGATGGAGTAGGCATACCGAAGTTTGAGAGGGGAATGTGAAATATTTGGAGACTGGAAAACCTTAGAAATTAGGACAGTGTAAAAGGATTAGCAAAGAGTAGTAAGGGACTGTTTGAGATTGCGTTAATGAAATAGCTTGTGATGCATCTTTTCTCCTAACTTTAATGAGAATATTTCTTTTGTTTCACTATTAAGAATGATACTTGCTATTTATTTTTTACATTGAAACCCTGTACCTTACTCATAGAAGTATTTTTTTTCTTTTTAAGTAAATTGATTGGGGCGATATTGGATAATAAAATTATATAAATTCAAGTGTACAATTCTATGATGCGTCATCTGTAAGTTGCATTGTGTGATGTTTTTCTTAATGTTTTACAAATAAAGAATTTTTAGATCATAAATAGATGTTGAATTTCCTCAAATGCTTTTTGGTACCTATGAGATAATAGTTCATTTTCTTTGTTAATACTCTGAATTATATTATTAGATTTTCTGATGGTGAATCATTCTTGCATTCCTGGGATACATCCTATTTGGATAGGATGTATTATTCTTTTAATATATTGGTGTATTTGATGGGATAATATTCTATGTAGCATGCTTTCATCTACACTTATAAATAAAAATGCCCTGTAGCATTATTTTTTGTTGTCTTTTTCTGATTTTGCTATCAGAGATAAGAATAGCCTTATCTGAGTAGCTCTCCAGTTCTTTCTATACACTGAAAGAATTTGCATAAGAGTTAACTGTTTATAGAAAATTTGCTAGGTTCACCTGTCAAATGATGTGACTCGAGTTTTTAGGGGTCATACTTTGAATCAGATTTTTATACTGGGGTAATCAAACTTTCTAGTTTTTCTTGGATTCCTTTTGGATATATTTCCTCTCTAGAAAATTGTTCCCTTTTCAAAATTTTGATGTCAAATTGCTAAGATTTTCTTTTGAGGTTTTAGAAATTCTCTACTATACCACTAGCTTTGTGAACTATGTGGTTCCTAGTATTGTTTATATTTACCCTCTCTTTTCTCATGATCAGTTATTTCAAGTTTGTTGCTGTCCTTAGTCTCTTCAAAGAACATTTTTAGTCACCATCCCTCTGTTTTGCATCTATTATCTTTCATTAATAACATCTTTATTCTTTGTTATTTCTTTCCTCTTCCTTAAATTTTCTAGCTTCTTGAATATGCAGTTCATTTATTTTCAATCGTTCTTCCTTTTACTTTCAATAAAGTGAAATATTTCTTTTACAGTTCTTTAATGCTTTCCCCCCTAAACTCTATTTTTAAATATACAAAAATTTATGAAAGTCACTATAGCTTGATAAATTATCTCATTAGCTAATCTGATGGCTGTGTAACTGGCACTTAGGTTCAGAACAGATTTTAACATCACTCCAAAGACCCTTTGTGCCCCTACTCACAATCCCTCTCTTCCCCAAAGGTGACCACTACTCTGAGTTCTAACATAGATTACCTGGATGCATTTTAAGCTTTGTGTAAATGAAATGAAGGAATAGGTGCTATTTTGAGTTTGGATAATTTTTCTCATTATTATGTTTATAAAACTATCCCTATATTTAAATGCAGTTTTTGTTTATCTTCATTGATGTACTGTGTTCCACTATGTGAGTACACCACAATATATTCACCCATTCCACTGTGATGGACATTTGGGTTGTTTCTAGTATTTGGCTACTAAAAATAATGTTGTTATGAACATTCTCGACCATGACATTCAGTGCACAGCTGTACACATTTTCTAGGCATGTGATAATAGTTGGATCATAGCACAAGCATATATTCTCTTTTGCTCAACTTTAGTAGATACCGTCCAATCATTTTCCAAAGTAAATGCAATGATTTCTATTCTCTCTACTAAGAAAATTCCAATTGCCCCACATCCACACCATCTCTTGTATTGTCAATGTTATCAAATTTTAATCTTTCTTTGAGAGTGCAATAATATCCCATGATAGTATTTTATTAGTTTCCAAATAAATTTCCAAACATTAATTTTTAACCTTTCTGTATTTTTTTTTTTTTAGGTTTTGTTTTAAATACTGCTCTGACGGCACTACATTTGGTGCCTCCCATCCAGGACTGAGTGATTAAATAGATCTCACGAGGACAGAGCCACCTGAGGGACATCACTAAGTCTCAGTCCTGGGCAAAGTTTCTGCTGAGAGTACAGTATCCTGGTGAATCAGCAAGCCTGATAAACATTATCATCTAATTAGCATAAAATTCCATTTGTGGATCCTGCTGCCTCAGATATTCCAACCTAGTTGTGAAAAAGTAGCATTTTCCAGTATCTTCCACTATCTAAAACACAGTTAAAATCTTTGGAGAGTGTTGCTTATTGATGGAAGCTATGAAGTCTAAGGCTATCTGTGCCCAGAACCCGAATTGTAACATAATGATATTTTATCCTACCAAAGAAGAGTTTAATGATTTCGATAAATACATTGCTTCCATAGAATCCCAAGGTGCCCACCGAGCTGGCCTGGCTAAGATAATTCCGCCCAAGGAATGGAAAGCCAGACAGACCTATGATGATATCAATGACATCTTAATAGCCGCTCCTCTCCAGCAGGTGGCCTCTGGGCGAGCAGGTGTGTTTATTCAGTACCACAAAAAGAAGAAAGCCATGACAGTGGGGGAGTATCGCCACTTGGCAAACAGTGGGAAACACCGGACTCCACCACACTTGGATTTTGAGGATTTGGAGCGGAAGTATTGGAAAACCCGCCTCTACGATTCGCCCATATATGGCGCTGACATCAGCGGCTCCTTGTTTGATGCAAACACGAAACACTGGAACCTTGGCCACCTGGGGACCATTCAGGACTTGCTGGAGCAGGAGTGCGGAGTTGTCATCGAAGGCGTCAACACACCCTACCTGTACTTTGGCATGTGGAAGACCACCTTCGCTTGGCACACGGAGGACATGGACCTTTACAGCATCAACTACCTGCACTTCGGGGAGCCCAAAACTTGGTACGCGGTGCCCCCAGAGCACGGCCAGCGCCTGGAACGCCTGGCCAGGGAGCTTTTCCCGGGCAGTTCGCGGGGCTGTGAGGCCTTCCTGAGGCACAAGGTGGCTCTCATCTCGCCCAGCGTCCTCAAGGAGAACGGGATTCCCTTCAGTCGCATCACCCAGGAGGCTGGAGAGTTCATGGTGACGTTTCCCTACGGCTACCACGCTGGCTTCAATCACGGCTTCAACTGCGCGGAGGCCATCAATTTCGCCACCCCGCGATGGATCGACTATGGCAAAGTGGCCTCTCAGTGCAGCTGCGGGGAGGCCAGGGTGAGCTTCTCCATGGACGCCTTCGTGCGCATCCTGCAGCCCGAGCGCTATGAGCTGTGGAAACGCGGGCAGGACCGGACTGTGGTGGACCACGTGGAGCCCACGGCTCCGGGCGGCCGGGACCTGAGCGCCTGGAGGAAGAGCTGGGCGGCCGGGAGGGCCGCGCTGGGCCTGAGGCACCTGCAGCCGCGCCGCGCCGCGCGCAACCCTCGCGCGGTGGGCCCGGGCGGTGCGCCCCGCCGCCGCGCCCCTGCGCGCCAGGCGTCCCTGCGCCCCTCGCTAGCCCGCGGTTCTGCCTCTGCCGCCCAGTGCGGAGCTGGCGCGGCCCGCTGCTCCTCGAAGCCCGACCCACCCTCGCCGCCAGTCCCGGGTCCACCTGCCCGGGATCTCCAGCCCACTGGCAGACGTGGTCGTGGTCGCGGTCGCGGTCGTCGTCCTCGGGAACAGGGGACTCAAGAGCCGATTGTTCAGGCCCGGGTCAAGAGGTGCCGCTCAGTGGGCACAGCGCGCACTGCTCAGGACCCCGAGGCCCAGCCTGTGCCCCGGGATAAACCGTCCATGGACAATCCTGCACCTCTGAGCCCGGAGACTCGCTATCCTGCCGTGGCTTCCGGGTGCTGCTTTTCTCCAGTCTCTTAAGCCTATGGGACGCCTGCCTTGTTCCCCATTGCTGTTTTATGTGGGGAGTCCTGAGACATCTCAGAGCTTTAAGCAAGTTTGTATGTCACACTGGTCTTGCATGAGAGTTCCCCGGTGTTGCCTCCAGACGGGCTGAGTTCATGGTATTAACCAAGTTCGCCATAGTTTGTTCTGCCTCTCAGACCCTGGAATGTCTTTGGACATTGCTAACTCCTGTGCCGCCATCTGAGGTTTTATCCACTGGACACCCTTGTGTCTCTGTGAACCCTCTGAGTTCTGCTGAGTTTGCTGAAGCCGGACTTACCCAAGTCTCCCATCCTCTGGGAAAACTCTGGATGATGCCCAGCTTCCGAGGAATTCTAGGCTTTGGTTCCCCTCCAATTTCCCTCCCTTTTCTCTTGCTCCTCCCCATTTTATGCAAAACTAGGCCTTTTTAACCAATTAGGTCAGTAGAGGCTCAGAAAATAATTTATGATCTTTGAGTCATTGATGTGTTTATAATGGCATTTCTTCACAATATATTAAAGGTAACAAAAACCAACCAACTGAGGGATTGAGGTTACTGTTTTCTGCACTTTTCTTTATAATTATATCAAAACATGTTAAGCAAAACCTATTTTTATGGCCTGATAAAACTGTGTGGAGTTGCTAAATAAGTTGGGAATGGTTGTTGGGTTCTGCCTGGCCGGCTGGCTGGGGAATTTAATTTGTAGACTTTATCGTAAGGATGACTTGGTGGGAATCATCTGGTAACTTGGCTGAGCAGTAGTATGCAAGTTGTTGGGAGAGATGAGCAAGCATAGGACAGAAGTGCCATCATCCAAATATCTTCAGGTCTCCACTTCTGTTTCAAGGCTGTATGTGTAATGGTTAATTTATTGACTCAATAAACAAGTCCATAAATAAATGAATAAGATAATTTCCATTGGTAATATGTGGGGATGGGATGACAGAGCAGAATTGCCTGGGGCTAGCCCGGGTTCTGGTGATCAGGACATGCTCCTTGGAGCAGGAGACCTTTCTAGGACCTACTTGACAAAAAGGGAGGTCCAGAGCTGACCTCTGCTTAGAGGAAACAAGTGTAATAGCTCCATCATGGGCTAGAAAGGAAGCTTATTTGCATCTGGGCCATAGAATAGAAGGAGACAAGCAGGGTCCAGGGTGTGTAGGATCTTGTGACTCATGTTAAGTATTTGAATATTTTTCAACTTGAAACAAGAAGGCATTGAAAATTTAAAACTGCTTGATATGATTTACATCTTTAAATAATGAGTTTAGTTCTGTGGACAGTGTGGGGGCAAGAGAAGTAGAACATTTAACTTACACAAAAGTAATACAAGTGAGAATTGATGGTTATTTTGAGGCATTATCATTGCAAATGCACAGAAGTGGACAAACTCAGAATAAATTTTGGAAATTGAAAATGGTAGTTTAGATACAGAACAAAACATTGCAAAGAAACAAACCACCCCTCCTCTGCCCCCAGCTCTCCCTTACAGAATTTCAGTGAGGCTCGAGAATTTGAAGAACCTTATAAAATTGAAGGTAGGAGTAATGGAAAAGCAGTGATTATTTGAAGTTGTGAAGAGCAACAAAAACCCATGTCATATCCCTACCACCATGTAGCTAGGCAACTCTCTTTTTCCCAGTGTAACTGGAGATAGAAGTGCATCTGTGGAAAGTTGGAGCTGAGAGTCTGAACTCAGGGATTCCAGGCACAATGGAGGATGCGAGTGAGATGCTTGACTACAAAGGAGGTTAAACAATATTGAGATTGTGGAACCACAAGGTGAAAGCAGACTGGACTCCCTTGGAAGTGAGGAGCCCTGGAGAGCAACTGGCCTCATAGTAGATGTTACATGGACAAGAAATAAACTTTTATGTGATAAGTAACTGAGATATTGAGGAGGTGTTTTGTCCTTCAATTTAGGTCAGCTGTGGATATGGCAGTGCAGAGAAGTCTCCTTAGAGACAATAGTCTGGCTCATCTTCCTATTTTAAATTTTAGAAGCAGAAAATTTTCTGTCATAGTTCAGGAATATCATCATCTATTCCTTGGAAGATAGATGACTGGGAAGCATAGGATAAACAAAAGTCGGGGTTTTTGAAAAAGAAGAAAAAGGTTTTTTTCCCCAGAAAGTATTGCTCCCATTACACTCTTAGGTTTTCACTCATAATTTTTAAAATTTATTTTGTCCAATAAAGACAAGCAATATTAAAAATACAGTTTAGTTGTACCAATAAACTGGTTTCTAAATCTTGAAAAGGAGCTGGGGGTGGTAGTGAAGGATGTTCTTCAAGAATATTCAAAATTCTATTTTGTTTTATGTTGACACATTCAATTTGGATACACTCAATTTGTACATCTCTTCTCAATAAAGGGTGCCCATATCCAGCTGTTCTTCCATGGCCAATAAGTTTTTGTTATGCTTGGTCTTGGAAAAGCAAGGGACATTGACTATGAAAATTATATATAAGCCAGGATGCAGCCATCTTTGTTCTCACTGCCATGACCTATATCCCAGGTCTCTTTCTACTTCTGAGAAATAATCGTGAGTTTAGTGTGTATTCTCCAAGTTAACAAATGAAAGTCTACACAGTCAAAGGTAACCTGTGGTTTTGTCAACTTATACCCCCCACTATCTTTTTAAAAAGTAAATATTACATTTACAAGATCTGAAAACATTGTGACATGTAAGCTTTGATCAGTCCAACAAGTCAACTAGATCTATGTATTTGTTTTTTGTTTTTTGTTTTTGTCTATTCTGCCAATGGACAATAGGATTACTTCCAAATCTTTGTTAATTTAAACAGTGGTTTACTGAATAGCTTTATACATATAAATAGAATAACTGGGTTGTATTTATGTTCTTTTTCAACTTTTCTAAGAATAACCAGATTAGCCTCCAATTTCTCTCTCCACTGGCAGCATGGGGGAGTTCTGGTTTCTCTATATCTTTATCATTTTTTTTTAAAATTGTCAGACATTTTTATTTTCTCTAACCTAAATGAATGAAAAATAGTATCCTGTTGCACTTCCCTGATTACTAGTGACCTGCACATTTTTTCATATTTATTTGCCATTTGGATTTCTTCTGTGAATTGCTTGTCCTGAGACTTTGTTCACTTTTTTGAGGTTGACTTTTTTTTTTGTACTGATCTATGGAAGTTTTATGATATTTGGAGTATTACATCATTATTTTATGTATGATGAAAAACTTCTAGCCTGTAATTTATTTTTTAAAGTGTTGACATTTTCATTATTTTTATTGATTTTAATCCTCACCCAAGAACATGTCCACATGCAATATTAAACTTTAGACTTTAGAGAAGAAAGGAAAGGAGGGAGAAGGGGGTAGAGAGAGAGAATGTGAGAGGAAAACATCTATCGTTTGCCTTCCCTATGTGCCCTGACTGGAACAAGAATCCACGATGTAGGTACGTGCCATGATTTGGTGTATGGGACAATGCTCTCACAAACTGAGCCACTCAGCCAGGGCCTGTAATTTCTTTTAATTTTTTTTATGCCATTATATTAATCAAAGTTCTCCAGAGAAACAGAACCAGTAGGGAAGATACAGATAAATGAGAAGCTTTATTACAAAAATTAGTTCAAGCGGTTATTGAGACCAAGAAACCCCATGATCTGCCAAATCTGCAAGCCAGAGAACCAGGTGGCATATTCAATCTGAGTTCGAAGGCCTAATAAGGTAAGTCTAAGTCTTAGGCTAAAATCCCAGGAACCAGGAATGCCTAAGTAAAATGTCCCAGGATGGGCAAAGAAGAACATTTCAGCTCAAACAGAGTGAATTTGGAATTTGTCCTTTTCCTGATCTTTTCTTCTCTTCAGGCTCTGAATGGCTGGGATGATTCCACCTGTATTGGTGAAGGCATCTTAACTCAGCCTAATGAGGCAATTGCTAATAATCTCTTCCCAAGTCTCCCACGCAGACACACCCAGAAATAAGCTTTACCAGCTAACTTGGCATCTCTTAGACCAGTTAGATCCATACATAAAATTCACTATCACATTTGTCACTATATTAGAATCAGTTAAATATATCAGACATTTCCATCATAATGCTTTGGTTCTCTAAGGTATTTATTTCACTCTGAGTTCATAAAGATGTTCTTTAATACTTCCTCTTATAGTCTTAAAATTCTGTTTTGTATTTTCAGCATGCAATCCATCCCAAATTTATGTAAGAACTACATATCGAACAGTCCATTCCTTCATACCATCTTGGTATATCACCTGTATTAGATACAGATTGTCACGTATACGTATATCATATCTGGTTCCTCTCTTTGTACGTGGATGTATCTATCCATTCAGCACAAATACTGCAGTTTGTTAGGGGAGAAGTAGTCACCCCTCTTTTTCTCCTTTTTAAAGAATTATCTTGGAGATTCTTATTTAAATACCTGATTCCACCACTTACTAGATTTGTCACCTTGAGTAAGTTGCTTAATGTCTCTTTGACTCAGTTTCCTGATGTAAGAAACCTGGTTAATAGGATTTTCTTTATAGGGTCATTGTGAAGATTGAGTTATTCTTACACAGAACACATTGGACAGTGTCTGGTATTTGATAATCACCACATGTGTTAGCTACTTTTAATAATATTTGTATTAGTAGAAGAGGGACTTTTATCAAAAGATAGGAAAAAGAGAATGAAAAGACAAATCAAGGAGTGGGAAATTGTATTACCCATACCCAATAAAGAGTTAATAACCAAAATATATAAAAAACTACCATGTCGACAACCCAGCAGAAAAATGGACAAAAATACTTAATTAGGCCCTTTATGAAGGAGCATACCCAACTGGCCAATAAACATGAAAAAATTGCTCACTCTTATTAATAATCAGGGAAATGCAAATCATAATTACATATCCCTATGCCCTCACCTGATTGGCTAAAACTAAGAAGGCTGATTATCACAAAAGTTTTGCAAAAAGGAATCGCAACGAGTACCCTCATGTGAAGCTGGTGAGTGTGTAATTGGTAAAAACAAAACAAAACAAAATACCCTGTTGTAAAACAGTCTGGCAAGATAAAATTTGAATTCACATAACCTGTGACCAAGAAATTAATTTTCAGGCACAAGTGAGGAGTGTTCCAATATATGTGTGGGAGGATGTTCAGAAGAGGGGAGTAAGAGGCCAGAGAGGAGACAACCCAAAGGCCCAGCAACAGCAGAAACTTGTATACAATTGAATACAACCCCAAAATAGAACAAAATCCAGCTATATGCAAAAACATAAATGAAGAAAAAATACACACAACAGAATACATTAAGATATTCTAAAGTTTTATTTTTTTATTTTAAAGGTTTTATAAAGTTTTCAAAATGGGTACAGTATTAACTTCATATTTTTGACCAAAATTAATGTGCTTGTAGTTAGGATAGGGTTAGTCTGAGAGGCAGATGGGGCTGGACTCCCCGAAGAGGAGCACGAGCCAGGCTCCCAAGTGACTGGCAATGTCATATGTCTTGCCCTGGGTGCTGGCTCCACTTTTGTTCACTCTACAATTATTAATAGATATTAATAGTTCTTAATATATGTACAGTTAAGCTGTACATGTATGCTTTATGAATTTTTGCAAACACATCACATTTCGGAATTTCAAAATGTTAAAGAAACCTGTTTTCTGCTTTAAAAAATTGTAGTGGTTTACAAAATCATTTTAAAAATTGATTATATTTCTCAATTTTTTCATCTTAATATTGTTCTTTGATACCTTCTCTCATTTTTAATTTATTATTTTATTACACTTAATAATACTTAATTTTTTTAGAACAGTTTTAGATTTCAAAAAAAATTGATCAGATATTTGGGAGGGTTCCCCTATAACTACCCTCCAACCCACCCCACTCACATTTTCCCCTTTTGTTAACACCTTACACTACTGTGGTACATTGGTTACAATGAATGAACCAATACCAATATGTTATTTGATAAAGGCCATGGTTTATTCAGATTTTCCCCGTTTTTACCCAATGTCCTTTTTCTTTTCCAAGATCACATCCAAAATACCAAATGGCATTTGGTTTTTACGTCTCCTTCAGTTTCTCTCAGCTGTAACAGATTCTTGGACTTTACAAAATGTTTATATAGAAACTTGACAATTTGGGGGAGTATTGTTCAGGTATATTATAGGATGTCCATCTATTGGAATTTATTTGTCTGATGTTTTCTTATAATTAGCCCAGGTTTGTATGTTTTTCCAAGGAAGATTACAAAGGTAAATTGCTATTTTTATCATATCAAGGGCATAAACTATCAACATAATTTAGGACTCTGGCTGAAACAGTGTTTGTTAGTATTCTTCACTACAAAGTTACTACTCCCCTCCCCCGCCCCGCCCACTGCCACTTGCCACTCTCCACCCTTGAAGACAGTCAGTATTTATGCCCACACTGAGGGGATATGGTGTTACGCTTCTCTCCTTTAGGGCGAGTACTCTATAAGTTATTTGGAATCTTCTGCAAGAAAGAATTGTCTCCTCTCCCCAATTTTTGATTTACTCAACCATTTATTTATATCAGTATGACTCATAGATACTTACTTTATATTTTGGGTTATAATTCAATACTACTATATTTTCTTGCTGAAATTGGAAGCTCTTTTCTTGGGTTCCTGTGCTTTAATTTCAGGCACTGCAAGATGCTCCAGGCTTATGTTGTGTATTCCCTGCCCCCGTCCTAGAAACTTTTTTCCCTCATTAGAATCGCCAGTTCTTTAATTCTCTTCAAAGGTTTTAGGTATTTATTTTTAGAAGGGAAGAGAGAGAAAGAGAGGGAGAGAATCATCAGCGGGAGACATCAGAGGAGCCTGGCCTGTGACCTAGGCACGTGCCCTGCTTGAGTGGGAATCAAACTGGCGACAGCGTGCCCGCCGGATGGCGCCCGGCCACACCGGTCAGGGCTTAATCCTCTTTAAACGGATCAGATTGCTGTTTTACTAATCATCTCTATTTTTATGTTCATTTTCTTTTTTGTTTATCATTCAATCATTATTTTTTATCTTTTCTGGGGTTTTTTTTACTAACTGCTTGAGTTTCACATAAAAATCAATAGATTTTTAGGTATTATATAGATATTATTGTAAATACTATGTGGATATTAATTTTCAAATAAATATGGTTGGTTCAGTTATTTATTGTTGATTTTCTTTTTTAATTTATTTAATTTTTCAAGCCAGAAGATACCAGATCAGAAATTCATTTTCCTCTTCTCCACCTTTATATTTAATTTTCTACCTGACAAAAAGACAATCTGAGGAAACAACTCATGTCCAGCCTTGTCCAAAAGCCAGAAAGGGAATTCACATCCATTCAAGACCCACGAATTATCCCTTTCACAAATTATCCCTAAATAGAGATAAAAGGTAAATAATGACAACTGAAAATTCCCCAAACCTAGAAAATCCCAAGGACAAACATCGACCAAATATGAGCAGAAATTTCTTCATACATGAAACCATCACCAAACAACATGTTTTTCACATATAATAGTTTTCATGTGGTTGATTTTTGAATGCCTTTTTCTTTTGAAATTTTATTTGCAAAAAACCACAGAAGTTCACTTTGTTCAGAAATGAGCGAAATGAATCATGGGGCTAGAAGTCAGGAGACCAAAGACTCTGCTGGGCTGTCTGGAAGTGGGTGGAAGGGAGGCATCTCATTGTTGATTTTCATTGTAGTCAAAAAGGTGCTAAATATGTTTGTCTATTAAATAAAAATTTCATAAAATTAACAAAATAAATAATTGATATTTATATTGTGGTCTTATGTTGATAATATTTTGTAAATATTTTATGTGTATTTAAAAACATTTTGCATATGCTATATGGGTTGTGGCAGATTATGTGATCAACGTTGTTTAAATTTTCATAGCATTTAATTTTCTTCTCTATCAGGTTCTGAGAAATGGGTTTTTAAAAAAAAAACAACTTTCACCATGATTGCAAATATATCTGTTTTACTTTATAATTCTCAGTCTGTGTGTTCTATCTACGTCACAGTGCTGTGTATGGGTGTATGAAGTTCATTGTAATATTTTCTTAGTGATTTTTTTGATAACTATAAAATATACCTCCTTTATCTTATAAATACATTTGATATTAATTACTGGTAGACCAGGGTTTTATTTTGTTGTTGTTGTTGTTGTTGTTTCATATTTTCGTGGTTTGACTTTCTCACTCCTTTATTTTCAACCTCTTATCTTGCTTTAAGATTGGTTTAAAAAAACAAAAGGACACGTGATCACAGTAGACGAGCAGCACAGATTAGATCAAGGAATTCCAAGGTATAAGGCCAGCCCCATCAGGACAAGGGGCTGCATTCGAAGGCTGGCCATCAAAAGGGTACCTGCAGTACCTTCACCGGCAAATGGGATTTTGCTGGTGGAAGGTAGGTCACTTTATTTCTGCTATTTGTACTTGTGACCAAAAAAGTTATTTTCCTATTACAAGTTTAAAGAACTCACTATAATTTTATATTATTTATGATTGAGAAATATGCATTGGGATATCATTTCCTTGAGTTAAAACAAGGAAATTTTTTAAATTTTTATTTTTTAAAATGTGTTTTTCAGACTTGTGGGATTAATATTTTTCTTAGTATTTTCTTGGTGAAAATCACATAGATTTTCAGGAAAAAGCCTTCAATTTAGGGAGCTGGTATCCAATGGCAGTAAGAGGTTTTCTAGATGTGGGAAAAGAATGAATTAATTGGAAGGGACTTGGAAAATATGTGGGGTTAAATTAGAGATTATTTATTTGATATGGGGGTATTAGAATGGGGATGGTGCTGATTGAATTAGATTTGGGACAGAACATACATAGCCTGACTTTGAGCACAGCATGTTTCACTCAGACGCTGAATCCTTAAAAGAGATCATTTTCTGCTCCTAATGTTTCATCATTTAGAATCAAGATTTAGAGTAGCCGAAGGCAAGTGTTTTGTTTTTGTTTCTTTTTTTAATTTTTAAAAATATTTTATTTATTTACTTTTAAAGAAAGGGGAAGGAAGGGAGAGAAACATTGATAGGTTGCCACTCACACGTCCGCAACTGGGAACATGGCCCGCAGCCCAGACATGTGTGCTGACTGGTAATCGAACCAGTGACCTATCAGTTCACAGGCTGGTACTCAATCCTCTGAGCCACACCAGCCGGGGTGTGTTTTGGTTTTTTCTTTAAAGCATAAGACAGTTGAAAATGATAACATTTTATATCAGACAGCAACTTTTTTTCTGGTAAAGTCTCATTTATTTATGCATTCAAAGTACAAATTCGTGTATCTCATTTTTTTATTTTTCCATTAGGGCCTTGTATTTCTTTTTTTTAATTTTTAAAATATTTGTTGATTTTAGAGAGAGAGGAAGTTGGGGGGGTGGGGAGAGAAACATCGATTGGCTGCCTTCCATACGTGCCCTGACTTAGAATAGAATGTTCAGCATTTTGGTGTATGGGACAATGCTCTAAACCGACAGTTCCCAACCTTTCTGGCGCTAGGGACTAGTGTCTTGGAAGACAATTTTTCCACGGACCCGGGGTTGTGGGGAATGGTTTTGGGATGATTCGAGTGCATTGCATTCGAGCTCCCCTCCTGCTGTGTGGCCCGGTTCCTAACAGGCCCTGACGAGTACTGGTCCACAGCAGGTAGGTTGGGGACACCTGTTCTGAACAACTGAGCCACAGCAGCCCAGACAGGCCTTACATTTCTTAAAGGGACTGACACCTTTCTGCTAGTCCATCTTATAATTGATCATTGTTGGTGTTTAGAATGCTATAGGTTTCTGTATGCTAATCCATCTAGAAATTTTGTTAAAGCCTTTATTTATAATAATAATTTGTCTATTAATGCAAACTAATGATTAGATTGCTTCAAATGTTTACCTATTAAGAATAATGCTTGTAGGGAGCGTATACATCAGTGTCCTGTATTTTTGGCCTGTTTGTTGTTTACATAGGCATTCTTTCTTCTTTTATAAAAAAAAAGATTTTATTTATTATTTTTTTTTAGAGAGAGGGGAAGGGAGAGAGAAAGAGAGGGAGAGAAACATAGATGTGTGAGAGAAACATCGATCTGTTGGTTGCCTTTCGTATGTGCCAACCTGGAAACCAAACCCGAAAGGCAGGCATGTACCCTGACCGGGAATCAGGCAGCAACCTTTCCTTTTGTGGGACAATGCTGCAGCCAGCTGAGCCACCCTGGTCAGGGCAGGCACTCTTTCTGTTATGGGAATTCTTTCTTTTCTTTTTAAAGCATGTATTAAAATAATGAAATCAATGTTGAGTTATTTCAAATAGTTTTCTGCATGCGACAGAGGATGATTTTTCCATTTTAGCTGTCAAGGTACTTGGCAGATTTTTAAAAACATCTTTGCAATAATTAATACTGGCATGTTTTTCTTTTAATGCCCTGCTGCAGTAAAGTTGTGATAAGACTTTATTTAAGATTTTTGCAACTTTGCCCCTAGATAAAATTGGCCTGTCGAGTACTCACCTAGTGTTGACCTCTTCTGGTTTTGCCTTTAGCCTTATAGAGTAAGCTGAATAGCTTACCCTAGAAAAGTTTTTATGAGGTAAGGGTCAGCATGCACTTACAAAATGATGTGTTAGATGTTTATGGTCCATATTTAAACCACTATATTTTTATTTAGTTTATTGGTATATATCAATATTTTACTTTTCTCTTGGACCACTTTGGGGTATTTGTATTTTTGAGAAAATGATCCATTGTAGTTTCCAAAATTATTAGCACCAAGGTGTTCATAAGATTCAACTCTAATTTAAAAATATTTCCCTGCTGCATTTTTAGCTATGCCCCCTATTTTATCATAATGTGGTTTATTTGTGCTTCCTTCTCTTCATGGTTATGTCTTTTCACTTCTAATGGTCTTTTCTAAGAATCAGATTTTGATTTGGGTCATCATTTCTATTGGGTGTTATATATATAGTAATTGTTTTCAAATATTCTGTATTGTTTTTCTTTTGGTTTAGCTTTTCAACTTCCTTGAAGAGACTTTCCACTACAGCGGGGTGAGGGGCCATCCATATCTCCAACCTGTGAGTCAGGAGACGCCTCAGAGACACCAGCAGGGGACTGAGGACACCCACTTAGCTGCAGGCTGAGCCTCCGTGGGAACAGAAGAGGCTTAGCTGCACCAGTGGCTCCAAGTGTCTGCTCCCCTGGGAGCTATTCCATTTCCTTCAGGTATAAAATGTTGACCAGAGTGGAGTCCCACTAGTGAGTTCACAAGCTTGAAAAGTTTATTTGTTTGAATGCTCAAGTCTGAGTTATTGCCTCACAGAAAAACAAATAGAGAAGACATTACTCCCATCATTCTCAAGTATCTAAAATATACCTAAGAACCTAGGAGTCTGCTACTTATATTGCAGCCATGAACTTTAAGCACTGTTGTACCCAGAACCCAAGTGGTACAATCATGACCTTCTGCCCAACCATGGAAGAATTTAAAGATTTCAACAAATACATTGATTACATAGAATCCCAAGGTGCCCACCGAGCTGGCCTGGCTAAGATAATTCCGCCCAAGGAATGGAAAGCCAGACAGACCTATGATGATATCAATGACATCTTAATAGCCGCTCCTCTCCAGCAGGTGGCCTCTGGGCGAGCAGGTGTGTTTATTCAGTACCACAAAAAGAAGAAAGCCATGACAGTCGGGGAGTATCGCCACTTGGCAAACAGTGGGAAACACCGGACTCCACCACACTTGGATTTTGAGGATTTGGAGCGGAAGTATTGGAAAACCCGCCTCTACGATTCGCCCATATATGGCGCTGACATCAGTGGCTCCTTGTTTGATGCAAACACGAAACAGTGGAACCTTGGCCACCTGGGGACCATTCAGGACTTGCTGGAGCAGGAGTGCGGAGTTGTCATCGAAGGCGTCAACACACCCTACCTGTACTTTGGCATGTGGAAGACCACCTTCGCTTGGCACACGGAGGACATGGACCTTTACAGCATCAACTACCTGCACTTCGGGGAGCCCAAAACTTGGTACGCGGTGCCCCCAGAGCACGGCCAGCGCCTGGAACGCCTGGCCAGGGAGCTTTTCCCGGGCAGTTCGCGGGGCTGTGAGGCCTTCCTGAGGCACAAGGTGGCTCTCATCTCGCCCAGCGTCCTCAAGGAGAACGGGGTCCCTTTCTGTCGCATCACCCAGGAGGCTGGAGAGTTCATGGTGACGTTTCCCTACGGCTACCACGCTGGCTTCAATCACGGCTTCAACTGCGCGGAGGCCATCAATTTCGCCACCCCGCGATGGATCGACTATGGCAAAGTGGCCTCTCAGTGCAGCTGCGGGGAGGCCAGGGTGAGCTTCTCCATGGACGCCTTCGTGCGCATCCTGCAGCCCGAGCGCTATGAGCTGTGGAAACGCGGGCAGGACCGGACTGTGGTGGACCACGTGGAGCCCACGGCTCCGGGCGGCCGGGACCTGAGCGCCTGGAGGAAGAGCTGGGCGGCCGGGAGGGCCGCGCTGGGCCTGAGGCACCTGCAGCCGCGCCGCGCCGCGCGCAACCCTCGCGCGGTGGGCCCGGGCGGTGCGCCCCGCCGCCGCGCCCCTGCGCGCCAGGCGTCCCTGCGCCCCTCGCTAGCCCGCGGTTCTGCCTCTGCCGCCCAGTGCGGAGCTGGCGCGGCCCGCTGCTCCTCGAAACCTGACCCCCTCTCGCCGCCAGTCCCGGGTCCACCTGCCCGGGATCTCCAGCCCACTGGCAGACGTGGTCGTGGTCGCGGTCGCGGTCGTCGTCCTCGGGAACAGGGGACTCAAGAGCCGATTGTTCAGGCCCGGGTCAAGAGGTGCCGCTCAGTGGGCACAGCGCGCACTGCTCAGGACCCCGAGGCCCAGCCTGTTCCTGCGGATGGACTCTTGGTAGACAACCGGGAACCACGGAACCTTCGTTCCCTGCATCCTGCGAGAGCTTTTGGGTGTTGTTGTGCTCCGGATCTTCAACCCTTAGGGCCTCCATTAGATCCTGATGAACCAATGCACCCTGGCCCTTGCCTGCTCTCTCTGGACAATATTACAGCCAATCTCCCTGACATTGTCCCACTAACTCCCCCCAATATCATTGGGACTGTGAGGTCATCCCCCGAAGATGCTGCTGGAAACTGCAAAACCATTGTGAACCTTCTTGAAGGTGTAAGGATGGACCACTCGTATGCCTCTGTGGTCCTGGCCCCGGCTTCAGCTGTGGAAAGCTCTGGGGCCCCTGACTGTGATCCCCTGGGGCTAAAGCTAGAGGCAGCTGCATCTCTCGAGTCCTGGGACATGTTCACCAGCAATGGATGGTCTTCAGTCTTTGAGCCTATCACTGATGAATTTCTTGTCAAATATGGCTGTCTCTGACCCTCAGCCGTGCGAACCACCCAGCAACAATCTGGGCTGAGCCTGTCCCCAGTCAAGATGCTTTATTTCCTAGGAATGACACATTTCTTAAGCTGCCAGATGTTTTTACTACTATGACAACTTAAAGTTTCCACTCTCCAAGAAATGGAATCTCAAACCAGTCAATCAGGACTCACATGATCAGCATTAGTTAGGTAATCTGCCTTAGAGAGCCCTGCCATCCCCTAGAAGAAAGTAACCTTGTAATAAGAAACCCAGTGTTTTGCCCAGTAAAACTTCCCGTTTCTGGTCCCTTCTGCTTATAAAAGCCTGTCATTTTACACAGCTCCTCAGAGCTCCTTTCTGTCTGCTGGATTGGATGCTGCTTGATTTGAATCACTTAACATTTTTAATATACCTTAGTTTTTTTTCACAATCTAAAACAAATTGGTTCAGAAAAATTAAAAGGACAGGCAAAACACTATGAGGCAAACACAAAAGAAAGTAAGAGTCACGGATCTAAATATCAGGCAAATTAGAATGGAGGCTCAAACATACACAGAAAGGGTAAGTTTCACCATGAAAATATGGCAGTCATGAATATCTATGCAACTTCGATAAAGTGTAAATTATAGAAAATAAAACAAGTGGGAAGAAACACACTAAAAATAGGTTCACTTTATGTGATGTTGTGATTTATAATAAATGTATATTTGGTCTTCATCCCTGTTTCTGGCAGAGCTCCTAAGTGCTGAGAGCTATAAAGGTGTCTTTGCTAATGAGGTGACTTTAGGAATGCCCCTTGATCACCTAAAGATGGGAGCTAGTCACCTGAGAAACTGACCTTGCGATGAGAGGGTTGTAGTTTTAAGTCCCAACCCCTAACCCCCAGCCCCATCCCTTGGGAGGAGAGAGGAGCTTGAGGTTGAATCAGTGCTACGGCCAGTGATTTAAGCAGTCATGATTTTGTAATGGAACCTCCCTAAAAACCAGAACGGACAGGGTTTGGGGAGCTACCAGGTTGGGGGACACATGGAGGAGCTGGGAGAGCGGTGCCCCTGGGGAGGGCATGGGAGCTCTGTGCCCTGGCCCCACCCTTTGCCCCGCGCATCACTTCCATCTGGCTGTTCCTAAGTTATAACCTTTTAAAACAAACTAGTTATCTAGTAAGTAAAATATTTTCTGAGTTCAGGGAAACGCTCTAGCAAGTTAATAAAACCCAAGGAGTTGGCCAGAGGAAGCTCTGCTTTATAGCCAATGGGTCCAAAGTACTTGGGCTCGTGACTGGCATCTGAAGGGGGGTGGCAGTCTTGTAGGACTGAGCCCTTCTCCTGTGAGATCGGGTGCTGTCTCCGGGTAGGTAGTGTCAGAATGGAGTTGAATTGTAGGACAAGCTGTTGGTGTCCAGAGCACTGTTGGTGTTTGTGGGAGGGAAAACCTTCCCCACCCATTGGAATGGCTGTCTAGAAATCCCTTTAACCTCATACAGTGCAAGCCAAAAAAACAAAAACAAACAACCCCCCCCCCCCAAAAAACCAACAAGCTTAAGGATACAGAAAACTTAAAAAACACTAACAATAAGGTAGAATTTTGTGAAGTGCCAATGGATCAGTCACAAACTTGACAGCATATTAAGGTGAAGAGAAAACATTAATAAATTCCAAAGTAATAAAAAATTAAACTGTTTAGTTTTCATGTAATAAAAGTAGGCGTTAATGTTAAAAATAAAAAAAAATGGAAGTCCTTCTTTCTGGAAAGTTAATTCTCCGTTGAATGACTTGTAGACTGTAGGGACAGCAGTCCCTCTAATTCCCAGGAAACAAGGAAGCGGTATTTGTTAACTCTAGGAACTCTGGAAACATGATGCCCTGTTTTGAATTCCAATTTCACTTTTACCAGTTTGTATGACCTTGGCAAATTATTTAACTTCCTGGTGACTTAGTTTCATGAACTGTAAAATGGGGATAGTAACCACACATATCTGCTATGATTAGTATGACAGTTCTGTAAGTTAACATTTGTGAAACGCTAAAATGGATGTCCAAAAGACAATAAGCATTATCAAAGTGTTTAGAGATTTAAAAATGAATGAAATACACATAGTACTATGTGGGATTCAGTTAAAATATAACCGAGGAAAATGTACAGCTGTATTTTTATCAATAAAATTGAAGTAATGAAATTAATGGGATTAAGCTTCTGTCTCATAAAATTAAGAAAAAAACAAACTGACAGAAAGCAGAAAGGAATTAATAAAGACACATGCAGAAATTAATGAATTATAAAAACTATAAAATTATATAACTAGTAAATCAACAAAAAGCTCAGATAACATCATTTTTTCTAGGAAAAATGAAGTAAAATGGTTTCAGAAGAGTTAAAAATCTAAGACAAATATTTTTAAAGATTGTATTTATTTATTTTTAGAGACGGGAAGGGAAGGAGAAAGTCAGGGACACGTCAGTGTGTGGTTGCCTCTCACGTGCCCCCTGCTGGGGACCTGTGCCCCTGCTGAGAGTCCAACCTACAGCCCTTTGGTTCACAGGCGGGCACTCAGTCCACTGGGCCATACCATCCAAGGCTAAGACAAATTTTTATGTAAGAAATATAGAAAGACAATCAAAAGATCTGCCTCTTCAAAAGCCATTAGTACCAGATAGTCCCGCAAGAAAATGTGTGAAATCTTCGAAGAGCAGGTATTTCCAAATCTATTTGGCATTGAAAAAGAAAAAGAAAAACTTCAAAATTTTAAAGTAAGCACAATGTTGATAGCAAAAACTGACAAATTGCATAAGGAGAAAAAAAAATAAACTTATTGATGAATAATTACCTAAGACAATCTAATTACATTAAGAGAATAATATGACTGGGGTTTATTCTAGGAAAGCAATGATGGTTTAAAATAAGGAAATAAGTAATATAACTTATCCTATTAATAGATCCAAGAAGAAGTTATACTATTATTTTCACATATGTTGGTAGGTATTTGACAAAATTCAACAGTCTTGTTTTAACACACCTCCACATATGAACCAATGGATGCTTCCTTAAAATGAAAACATTTTTTCTATTTATATAGTTAGCTATTATAGCCCCAAGGCCAACCTTTTATTTGAGTGAAATTTTGAGACATTTTTGCCAATAATTAAAATAGAATTAACAGTATTAACCAATGCAAAATATTAGAGCTGTAAATGATGTAAAGGAAGTGACAAAAAATTTTTTTTGGTTAAGATTGAATACCTGAAAACCCTAGGAAGAGACTAGTTATACCATTTTTTCTCTCTTACTCTTCACCCTTACAGGGCTCTGCACTGCCCAGCTTTCCCTCTTGGGACACTTGGGACACAGTCAAGAGCATGTCTGCAGTGGAGGCAGACATTAGCCCTCCTAAAGCAAGAAGGGGGGCTGGATAAAGCATAACTCAATCAGAACGTTTTTGTACATCTAAAATGAGTAAAAGAATGGAATTAAAGAGGGCCAAACATTTGGAAAGTCTCAGTTAGGTAAAAAAATTGTTGAGTATTATTGTATGCAGAAAGTGTAATCATTTAAGGATTCTTAGGATCAAGATTTCAGAAAAGGTGAGATTACAAGGGTGACTCAGTTGAGGTGGGGAAAAAGATGATTTAAAACAGGGAAGGAGCCCTGGCCAGGTTGTTCAGTTGGTTGGAGTGTCGCCCCATACACCAAAGGTTGCGGGTTTGAGTCCTGGTTAGGGCACGTATCTAGGTTTCGGGTATGGGAAGCAACCGATCATCTTTCTCACGTGGATGTATGTTTCTCTCTCTCTCTCTCTCTCTCTCTCTCTCTCTCTCATCAATAAACATATCCTTAGGTGAGGTTTAAAAAATAAAAAGACTGGGAAGGAGGTAAGCTTGCAAAACAATGTAAAAAAAAAAAAACTCTCTTGAGAACTTTCACATGTTTCTTGTTTATATCAATGGTCACCCACAGGAAGTCACTATCTCAAACTTTCTGCCCTTCCCAGAACTTTCATTTTATCACTCCTCTCATTTTATGCAGACCCCAAATTATTGATGAAGGTTCCCTAATTATCCCAGATGTCTTTGCTTTGAACTTCTATAACTCATTCTATAACTCTTGATTGAGCGCTGACAATATGCTAGGATTTAGTTTCTGAATGATCTGGCAAGCAGGAGATAATTGTAGTTGCTTGGAGTTCAAGTTAGAATTGGTCCTATGTGACATACAGCAGATGTTTTTTGTTACAGTGGTTAATACTTCTCTTTTAGAAGATAGTGGCTTTATGCACCTAACAATCTCAGCTGTATTCAGAACAAACCTTGGGATTTGGGAGTTTGATGCTTATTAATTTAAAACCACAGCATCTGAGGAACATGGCACCTAGAATCTAAAATTATTTTGCCATAAATTTCTTTTTTAATTTTTTTATTTTTACTTATTAAAATTTATTTTTTAAACTTTATTTTTTTCAGTTATAGTTTACATTCAATATTATTTTGTATTAGTTTTAGGTGTCCAACGTAGTGGTTAGACAGTTATATTTTACAAAGTATATGCCCCAAAATTTTCTGTACTCACTTGGCAACATACATAGTTATTGCAATATTATTGACTATATTTTCTATGCTGTACTTTACATCCCTATGACTGTTTTGTAACTGTCACCTGGGGGCATGAAAGGCATTGCGGGGAGCGTGGCACTCTGGGATCTGAGGTTCCTATCCTGGGCCAGCTGAGATGGGACCAGGGACTCTGAATCCCCCAGAGCCCATCCCAGGGGTGTCACGGATGCGGGGGATAAACACGAGTCATCGCAAACACTTCTCTGTTTGCCAGGAGAGGGGACATGGCACGTCTCCCTAGTGGGGAAGGCCCAGAGTCTCTTTGTTCAAAGGCTTTTATTGAAAGATTATCAGTGGGGCTAGGTAACAGGAATGCACAGGTGATCTCATTACATCCATATGTTAATGTTTACAGAGAATAGGTGATGCTTTGAAGAAAACAAATGGCAGGAACACACTGATTTACATGGG